CTCCCTGGTGTGCTGGGGGGCACGCAGCTAGTGCCCCCCCCCAGCAGACCAGGGAGACGTGGAGCAAAGCCGGGGGCCTGTGGTAGAGCAGGTGGGGCACTGCCGGTCTCTGCCGCAGCACCGCTCCTTGGCGCTACGCAAGAACTTGAAATTTAATGATAGTTTTAGGAATAGGGAAGTGCCTTTTGTGGGGCTTGTGAAAATCCACTTAGATTTTGCTAGGTTTTAAACATCTCCACTTTTCTATTAGCATGTGATCTGATAGAGCTCTTTATTGGTATGGTGAACACTCCGTCTACACTGAGTTATCTCTTTAGCCCAACAGAGATTGAGCTCCATGCAGTTGCCATTCTGGCTTATGGAAGGATCTAGGGAGGGATCATGAATTCTAGACCCAGCTCTTGTACTGACTAGAAATAAGATTTTTGTGCACTTCCAGTCTCGTCTTAATTGAGCAAGACCTAAGATGCACTGACACAAAAAATGTCAAACTTAACTTGGGTTTTGTCTGGGGTAGTCATGGTACCAGCATTGGGACAGAGTTCTCCCAGAGCTCCACATAAAACACCTTCACAAGGGGAGTAGCTAACAGCACCAGGAGCCTGTTTACACTGGTGCTTTACATTATGGTAATTTGCTGTGCTAGGGCTGGCAGGAGGGGTCAAAATCTCTTAGCGAGAAAGTTACAGCGCAGAAGAGTGGCAGTGTAAATTAGCCCTTAGAAAGAATAGGTCATCTGTGACTTTTTGTCATGACTGTTCTCATCCCAGTGTTAAAGCACCTTTACTTAATATGGGTTGGACCTCCCTACTCTGGCACCTAACTAGTCCTGGATGAGGGAGTTTGCTGAACCAGTAGAAGGCTCCACCACCTGCCACCAACCCCACTGCCCTACTGGCCCTGCTGGGCAACCCCCCCCTCCACCCCGCCAGCAGCCATCTCTCCTGCATGCCCAGGTGGGACTCTGTCCAGCTACAGTGCAGTGGAAGTCCTGGCCCCACTGTATCCTGGGCATACTGGAAAAAAGGGGGGGGTACTCCACACCAGTTGGACCAACCACAATATATCACCGGGGGGGAGGGGGGAGAGAAGGGAGGCTCTCCAGTCTGGCTAGGCTGGAGCAGTACCCTGCCCACAGGATAACGATTAACTGGTTAAACGATTAACTGGTTAAACATTTCATTTAAACAGTTGATTAATTGCAATTTTACATCCCTACATTGAACTAACTTATTTTCCTCAGATAACAGAAAAAGTATTTCCGGTATCATGCAGCAATGCTTGGTATATAATTTGAATTAACACTGAAATCTGGCTAGTGTTGTGGAGCTCTCATTATGGATGAGTGAGGGTTTTTTTAAATGTCCTACAATAAGCTCTGCATAAATCAATTAGAAGTTTAAACCATTCCAAAATCCTGTTTAAATAACAAATGGGAAACCTGAACTCACACCAACTTGTCACTTCATCCTTGTCTTTTATTCATTTTTTAAACACCTGAGATATTCATAATCAAAATATCCCATACATACAACTGAGAACAACAAGTATTCAACCCTACATTCAGACCTATACAATAACAAGAAAAATAGCTGTTAACTTGGCTTTCTGATTTCCGAAAGGTAAAACGATTCTTAACCACCTAAACCTGTATTTCATAATGGGATTGAGTCATTGGCCTGTGTTCTGCCAAGGATAGTAGATTCCCTGGCCTGACTGGGTACCAAGCATCTCATGCAGTCTCCCATGCATGGGGAAATTCCCCACCAGAATTTGCAGTGCTGCCATCTTATCTTCTTTAAATCCATCTTTAATACTTCACTCTGCCTTGATGCCTGCAAATCACTTCTGTTTAGCAATGACTAAACAAGCAGCACGCTAAAATTTCTATTTTTTAGTAAAAGTTATCATTTTGTATCCTCATTTCAACCCAGCTCCACCCTATTTTGCCTGTCTATTCATACTACACTTGAACCTCTTTAATCCAGCAACCCTGCAAAACAGGGTGTGCTGGATTCAAGATTTGGCCAGCCCACAGAGGGCACTGGGGCTCTGGACAAGAGGGGGATGGAGGTGGAGCACTTACCTGGTGCCCTGCTTCTGGGGGCACATGTGGCTCCCTGCCCCCTGCCACTCCCAAGCCCTCTGCCGCTATGGGAGCGGCAAGGAAAAGCACATTGGGATGGGAAAAAAAATTTGGGTCAGGGACCCAGTGCCAAATACAATTGGAGGTTCCTGGGTGCTAACAGAATATATACAAAGCAAGGAATGCCATTGTACTGGATAGCTTTAGTCTCTTAAAATAGGTTTTCTCCCTAAAGCATCGTATTAATAATAATCATGACACTTTGCATGTCTATATAGTGCTTGCCAGTTTGGGATCTCTAAGCCCTTTTTCAGCTTCTGCAGGTTGAACCTCTGTGGTCCAGGACTCTCTGGTCTGGCAACACTGGACCACGGGATGTTGCTGGACCAGAGCGCCCCAGCGGCAGAGATTGCTGGTGGCTAGGAGCAAAGCTAGCCAGTGGGGCAGCAGAACTCGCAGGCCAGCAGGGCCATAGAGCCTATGGGGCAGCAGAGCCTGCAGCCAGTGGTGAGCAAAGCTGACAAAGCCTGCAGCCAGCAAGGCAGCAGAACCTGCAGAGCCAGTGGGGCTGCTGGAGCCTGTAGCGTCATGGAGTTGGTGGGGGTGCTGGAGCTGGCAGGGGCCAGTGGCTGGGGACAGGAGCCCAGCAGGGAGGCTGACACCCTCCTCCCCTGGCCTCCCTTGGTTCACCAAACTTCTTTGTCTGCGGACCAGTCAGGTCCCGAGGGTGCCAGACCAGGGAGGGCCAACCTGTAGTCAAATATCTTCCCAGGCATCTATGAGGAAGTTACTTCAGATGCTTAATAGCAGTGTGTCCTTCCTGACACCCAGCAGCGGCATCCATGCTGTCACTGAATGAATTAGTGCAGACTTGCATTTTTTTCCTCCTCTGCGGCTCCTACTGTCAGCTTCCTCAAAAGGACACTGTTCCTTTCACAGCTGTCTGCTGAACTGTTAGTACTTACTGATCTGCATTTTGCAACCATCCCATTTTCTCTCTGTCCCCAATATTCCAAACTGCTAGGAAGAACCTAGGCGCCGTTATGAAGTGCCTCAGTCCGTACTCAGAGCGTTATGTAGGGACATCATCTGGTTTTAGATAAAATCTGGCTATGAGTGACAGAAGGAAAAGTGTAGTAATCCCCTCCACACACACACACAGAGCACATGACACTGCCAAATGCCTGGCATTCAGAACAAGATCTCAGGCAAGGCAAGATGCATGATACTACCACGTGCCAGAAGAGATACTGGAAACCCCCAGCTCCTGCCCTGTTGTACAGAAAGATCAAATCCACTGCTCACTAACAAACAAGTTCTCTGTTCCTTGTGCTGCGATTTGCCATTGATTCACACTTGCCTCCAGGACTGGCACACTTTAAGGTGCAATGGTGATCCAATGAAGGACTGGAGTCGAGGGTCGGTAGAAACAACACCCCCAGAGCGCGACCTAAATCTAGCAACCTTCCCTAGGGTTCAGAAAGAGGAAAGGTCACTCCATTCCCCAATCTCCGGTACCGGGGGTATTTAAAACACAGACACACACACATTCTATGGCAGCTGAAGCAAAATGCAGGACAATGTAGCACTTTAAAGACTAACAAGATGGTTTATTAGGTGATGAGCTTTCGTGGGCCAGACCCACTTCCTCAGATCAAATAGTGGAAGAAAATAGTCACAGCCATATATACCAAAGGATACAATTAAAAAAAATGAACACATATGAAAAGGACAAGTCATATGTGTTCATTTTTTTTAATTGTATCTTTTGGTATATATGGCTGTGACTATTTTCTTCCACTATTTGATCTGAGGAAGTGGGTCTGGCCCACGAAAGCTCATCATCTAATAAACCATCTTGTTAGTCTTTAAAGTGCTACATTGTCCTGCATTTTGCTTCAACTACCCCAGACTAACACGGCTACATTTCTATCACCAATCTGGAGGGGAGCTAGAGCGTTAGTGTGGGAACCTTGAGTCTCGAGGGCCACACTCACGTGAGCTGGGGTATTAGGTTCCTCACCCCTGCTTTAAAAACAAAACCTCTTACTCTTAAAAATCGATCCCCGTATCTCTGGTCGGACCACCTTCACGCAGGTCCTCCGGGATGGAAAACTGCAGCAAACTGTATGAACAGAAACAAACAGAAGCCCCAATCGCAGCTGGAGGTGGGGCGAGGCTGCCCCAGCAGGGACACAACGGGCTCCCCAAACCCCGGCCCGAGTGCCCGCAAGTCGCACCAGAGCCCCGGCGCACGTGCGCTCCGCCCTCCTCTGCGCCTCTCCCGGCTTGACTTTCAGGCTGCACTTCGCCCTTATGCTGTGCTGCCCGCTCCCCCCCGGGGTGCAGCCGAGTCTCTCCCTCGCCCCTCGCCAATTACCTAAGCGGGGGGGGGTCCAGCTTGAGCTTCTTGGCTTGTGGTTCCTCCGCTGCCATCTTCATGCTCAGGCTCTAGCAGCGCAGCCCCGGGGCTTCTCGGCAGCCTCTTGCAGCAGC